AAGTGGAATGGTTATGAAACCCGTTAGACTCCTTTGTTGTAAGATTTTGTTAGCTTTTTTGGACCTAACCGTGCACAGCATTCTCTAGCATTCCTATCATTTTGAACTTACAGGACAATAGAAACATCGCATTAATTATTCAGCGAAAATTTGTGAACAAAAAACAAAGGATTGTGCATGGTCAGGAAGTGTCCAGCATAAGCTACAGCACTGTTGTGTTGTTTCCAACTTTGATGTTTGCCGGCTTTCATAACCAGTCTCCTCTACTAATTATTATGAAAAGTAGAAAGTTATTCTAACTGAAGGCAATCCTAAATAAGCTCTGTTATTAGTTCAAATAAAGCAGATGCATGTGTATATCGATTTGTGACACAAGTTTTTTTACCTACCTCATGAATGTAAACTTTGAACTAGCTTCACTGTTTACATGCTCAAGACTCAGCTGCAAGCCCTTGAAAGTAGCCTTCTCCCTACCATAGAGACCATATTAAGAGTGGGAAATAGATTTTTCGTGAACAGGTTCTATGAAAAAAGGCTTTTCAATAACAATTCGCCCAACCATTCACAATCCCCTCTTGGGAATACCCAAGGTAAAGTAAGTAACCGAATCTGAAACTACATTGCTGATGAAGTTCGAGTGATTCTAACGAAATTTTGGTTTTATTTCATTTATCGATTCATTAATTTTATTTTTTAATTTTGTGCAGACTTTTGGAAATAGTTGTTGTTTTGTCAGGGAAAAGCCATAAAGAACACACGGGAGATTCCACGAATCATGTGTACAGCTAACAGCGAACGTCAGATTCAGGTTGACAATTCGAGTTTCAAATAAGGAATATCAGCGAAGAAAAACTGTTGAAAATAAGTCATGTGGATGAACCTAACATGAAACCTATTGCTGTTGCTTAGAAGAGATTGAATTTGGTCACGTGGTGCAAATTGAAGTCTGCCGTTTGCCGTAAACGTGATTCTGAATTTCTGTAACTTATCATTGTAAGCTAATCCTCTGTAATAGGGATTTGCTTTCTTACATGTACCTTTAACCCCTCCAGTCTTGTTTATACTTAAAGCAGTGCTGTTACATCAGTATAATTTAGTCTGTACAAAGACACAGACACTTGAATTAAATCGGCATCATGGCTATTGTTGTCGGGCCATTGTACTTGTTGTTTGTCCTTCGAAAGTTGAAGATAACCATGTCGAAGATAACCTTTGTGGCCGTCTTTGATGCATGTCTTTGAAACGTTTCTTCTGCCCCAAAAGACCACTCGATTTGACAGAGTTCTCCATACAATACCTGCTTTGGTAGTCGGCAACCAGGTATTCTGGCGACATGGCCTGCCCATCTGATCTGGGCTCTCTGTAGGAGGGTGTCAACGCTGGGGATGCCCGCCCTTTCTATGACCTCCTTGTCAGGATTTTTGTCCTGCCATCTGATATGGAGAAGTCTGCGGAGGCAGCTCAGGTGGATATGATTGAGCTGGTTGGCGTGTACTTGTCTGCTGTACACAGTCCAGGTCTCACATGAGTAGAGAAGAGTGATGAGTACCACCCATGGTAAACCTTCAGCTTAGTAGAGAGGCCGATGGCTATCCGCTCCCAGACATTCTCACGGAGTCATGGAAGGCATCAGTCACCATGGCCGAGAATACTATACTGAAGAGCGTCGAAGCAAGAGCACAGCCTTGTTTTACGCCCTTCGTTACTGGAAAGTATTCCAACTCGTCTCTGTCATGTCCAGAACTTTAACCGTCATGCCTTCGTGAAACCGTCGCACGGTCGTTATGAATTCGCTGGGACAGCCAAACTTCTCCTTTGTCTTCAACAACCCGTCTCTGCCTACCGTATCGAAGGCCTTGGTCAGGTCAGCAAAGGTCACAAAGAGGTCGCTATTCTGCTCTTGGCATTTTTCACGCACAGTCGTGGTGCAAACAGGTCTGTCGTATCACAGGTGAAGTTTGAACTGAATCACTTTCATTGGTCGAAGTCTGTGCGGTATTTCCTTTGTAGTGAATACCGCCTTGCATATCAACTTGTTAGAGCAGAGTAAAAAAGAAAGGCCATGGAAGCTGTTGTTTATTCTCGGCTTTCATTCCCTGGTATCTCACTTTAAACGGCTTATGCAGTGCGTGCTTACAAGCGGTCATGAATAACTAATGATGTCGACTCATTCTGCGCGATGATGTCCTGAAAGGCGTATTGTAAAAAAATCCTATAATGTCATGTCTCCTGCAGGGTGTAACGTTCCCAGCTATGCATGCCATGTGGAGCTTTTGGGCCCCTCCCCTGGAAAGGAGCAAACTGATCACTTTTTCTTATGAAGGTAAATACGTTTTAATCCCGGTTTTAATTCAGCCACCACCCGGTCAACTCGGTTGGAAAAATGCCGGTTTGGTAAGTTGGAGTTCGTCTATATTTGGATTCGCACACAACCCTCTATATTCACTCCGGTCAAAATAGTAAAATCTCCAAAGCAACATTGGCCAGAACTTAGGGTTGCTCATACGTTTTACGGTCAAAATTAGTGAGGTTAAGCAAAGACGTTTTTGAGCGACGCACACGTCAACCAGAAGTGGATCCATTCTTGAGCAGTTTTTTTGCCCAAATTTGCGTTCGAATCGCGTTGAGACTGTACTACCCTTAGCAATACAAATTTGGAAGCGTTATGGCTGATTGAAAGAGAAAGGGGCTTACTTAAACGCCTTTACTTAAGCTCCCTAATAAAAGATAGATACACCTCCAGGTTAGATGTACACAAACCCAGTGCAAGAATAGCTGTTTATTTTTCTGCCTTTCGTATCACAAAGGGAAAGAACTTGGCACTATTGTTGGCATGCCATTGGCAGGAGTTCTCTGTGCATCTGACATCTGGGGAGGATGGCCATCTGTATTTTATGTCTTTGGTAAGTATTTCCCCTGCAATACAGTGCATAAGGAGCCCTCCCTCCTGGGTATACCTAATTGTCAATGATGATATTTCTATTTTTAGAAACACCTCCAGTAGAGACCCAGACGTAACTGATATATAGTTAGTGCAGCGCGGTTGAACCGAATTCCGCTATAAAGAGCTGGGAATGGCCACCAAATAGAGTGTAATATAAAAAGACAACTCGTTAATGGACGTTACCAAATTGTTTTATATTGGCTATGTTTGCATATAAAATTGTAGAATTAACCAAACTCAGCATGAAGCAGGTTTGTAACGGAAGAAAAAAACAATTCTCATGTTGACATTAAGTAAAGCAGTAAAGGGACATTCAAACACGTAGCAAATAAACTATGGAAGGCGTGGATGGTCAAAACTAAAGAAGATGAAACCGATTGCAGTGAGTGGGGCTTTTGAAACCGTTTAATCTGAGTGCCAAAGTTAAAGTTTATATCTGTTATCTGTAACCATAAATAATCATTTACAACCTCGGGAAGACATATTTGTTTGTTTTGGAGCTGTGAGTCATTTACAAGTAATTTCGAGGTAACCTGAAAGTTTTATGACGAGCAATAGGCATCTACGCCCTGACACCACCCTTTATAGAAGATACTTTTGATGAAGGCGTACATTCAGTGTGGGTACTTCTTCCATTACGACGATACTTTTTTGGGATTCCTCGAAATAATAAAAGTACTATGAAACTCGCTGGTAGACCATAGGTAAATGAATTTCTTCTTGACCATGTGCTTAATCCGTTTACTCCTAATGGTGAAATTTTCACAATAAAAATTCCAATATCTCTTTAAGATAACTAGAAAATAAGCAATTCTTGAGAAAGGTTCTGTCAAAAGGGCTTCATTTGAATGGTAACACCATTTCGAAGGTGGGCTTCGCGGTATTTGTGACGGGCTCGTTTATCGTTTGTCTCTCGATGGATGGTACTTTCCTATGTCGTCTCGCGCGTAGGCTGGGACCAGGCTCTGCAGTGGGGGAAAAAGGCAAAAAAAGGGGTGAAATAAGAAAAATATCGACGAGCAGGAAAAAAATTTCGCTCTCCGAACTTTTGTTCTCGCACACCGGTGTTTTTCTCCTTTTTCCCCAATGCGGAGCCTGGTCCCAGGCTATATTGCGCGTAGTCGTGAACGAATACGTTTGTGTTTCTTTACATACTGACAGATTGGTGCACTTTAAATGAAATGTTTTATTTAGGTGGTGTTGGCATTTTATGGTCTTTCATCTGGATGATGTTTACGTACAACAGACCAGCTAATCATCCGAGAATATCCATCAAAGAGAGAGAATTTATTCATGCTACTATAGGAGCAGGACAGGACAAAGGAAGAAGAGTACGGGAATTATGCTAACTTTATTTAGTGGCACCCTTTTGTCGCTAAACATAACTATAGCACTAATAGAACAGTTGGGACAGTACTCGCCATTGCGCGGGCGCACTTGAATGGCTTTTTGACTCCGCACGTAAGTCATGCGGCAGAAGAGCTTTGGGTCGAGATTGACTGCTAGCAAAAAAGCTGTCAGAAATTCTTGTGTTTTGGTTAAAAAAAGCCTAAAATTTCGCAAATTTACTACAGTTATGATCAATTCATTTGGTAACAGAACGTTGTGTCATCCAATTCGGTCTGTGATCATATTCTTGGTTAAACAAATCGGACACCAGCGGTTTCCGATTTTGTTAATCACTCGTACTTATTCCTATTACAATTATTAATCATTTTGTTGACAAGTTGGCCAGTTACCCATGTTTCTTACCCATAAATGAAGACGCCACTACTCGTGTCTGAGAGTGGTATTCTGTTTCCAGGTCAGCGTGGTTGCAAGCATTTCGGGGGAAGGGACTTTCGCGTCTTTATTCCCATTTTTTTTTTCTTCTCAGGGATGGTTTGCATTTTCATTTGTTTCCATTATTAAAGTCACCTTGTAGGGCTAAAATTCAGAGTTTCGGTGAGGAATATTTGACAGTGATTTCACAAACTTGTTGATGTAGCATATTTTATTGTATTCTAATATCGGGAAATCTTGTTCACACAAAATTGATATAAAGAAAAGAAATATCGTACTTCACCGATGTATCGGTATATCTTCGCAGCCCTATCATTTTGTTCTCAAGTTATTCAACTTCCCTTGTTTCTTATATTAGCAAGAAAGGAAGACGTAGTGGCTTTATGCGACTGAAAGTGGCTATCCTGTGAGGAAGGGTTTGAGGAGATTAAGGGACTCGCCTGCCTTTATTGCTCCCCTTCCCCAGGTGTTACCCATTGCCCTCCACTTCAAACGCCTTCCACGCATACAAGCTCCATACGTTCAAATAGGCTTACCTGTGTGCCCCCCAACACTCCCAGTATTCCCCATTTCCTTTCGCTTTTCAATAGAGCAAGAGTGGCAAATTTTACGGAAATTTCCCTCGAAAGTTCCCAGAAGGCACAAGAACTGAATTGTTGAATTTCCGAAAGGCGAACCATTCAACCGAAATGGAATCAATGGAAACAAAACTTCCTGGACGAAACTTTTGACACCTCACGTGGTTGTCGTCTTCTTTCGGAAATTTTGGAAATTGCTGGTCTATTTGATATTGGAAGTTGCCAGAAATTTAAACAGGAGATTTTGGTTGAAAGGAATTTGCTAGGTGGGGTTAGGGTGGAGGAGTGGCAGGGGTTTTTCTAGGTTTTGGAATATGTGACCCACTAACTACATTGTTAATTTTTTTTCAGAAATATGACACCCCATGGTTTGCAATCTTCACTTCGCCAGCCGTGTGGGGGATAATTGTCGCACATTTCTGCAACAACTGGGGTTTTTACACCTTTCTTACTTGTTTGCCGTCGTATTTTAAAGAAGTTCTGAACTTTTCAATTTCTCAGGTGAGAAAGACGCATTGTTATAGATCGCTTGTGGAAAGAAAGAAGAGGGCGATCCCGTACCTATTTGAAAGGTTGTTTTTGATTAGCTGGGAAAACAATAGAGATTGTCACATAGCAATGTCCCTATCCCTGAAAACAGTGGAAGTGCAGATTAAAGGGGACCAGTAAAATAAGAGGTTTAGAACGGTGCAGGTCTGCTGACAAACGCCGAACCTATCCGATATTAAGTGACGTTCCACTTTCGAGATGGGAGCGGCGCGGCTACGCTCCTATACTAAAATTACGCCGAAATGGCTGTTTTTGTATGTGAGCAGAAGCCATACCCGGTATGGGTTTCGTGCAGACGCAAGGGCGTTCCGGTTTAGTGTAAATGTCATCAAAAACGAAACGGTTGTTCTGGGACGACAAAACGTGATCGTAAGATGGGGCTATTATGGGGCTATATTACTGTAAATGTACAGCTTACAAATCTGAATTTCCTTGTTGTCGTCCATTCCACTTGTCATCTTTGCTTGTGACTTATGAGGTGTTCGGTTACTACCCGAAGCCTTTATATATTTATTTATTTATTCTGCACTCCATGCCAGTGCAAGTTGTTGTGAATTCAGTTTTTCTGTTGCGACTTAGGGCCTGTTTATATGGAGGTGGGGGACCCCAGGTAGGCGTGGTAACCCGCTTGGTTGGGATAACCCGTCCGTCTATATAATCTTTCATTTTAATTTGATCACGTCTACATGATAGGAAGGGTGACCATATGAGAGATTGTATGGACAGGCGGGTTACCCCACCTAAGCGGGTTACCTCACCTATCTTGGGTCCCCCACCTCCATGTAAACGGGCCATTAATCAGTCGGCTTCTTAAAAATACGTTGATCATTTAAAACTCGTATTATTTCAGAATGGTCTTTTGTCTGCTGTTCCGTTTGTTTGTATGTGCGTAACTGCTATCGGTTCTGGTCAGCTTGCGGACTGGATGCGTGAAAACAACGTATTGTCTACTGGAGAGGTGAGGAAAGTCCTTGCTACAGGAGGTGAGTGCCTTCAAGATCCACATACAAATTCTCCAGACTGATCTCCATGAATAGTTAAGAGAATTTGGTTTAAGATCCCAATGCCTTTGATAATGAATTTAGTAATTGTCATAACCTTTACTGTTGATGATCTGCTGATGTTGTAAGGAGAAAATTGATGTTGGTCACTCTTGGGACCAAAGGATTAAAAATGAGAGCCGTAATACAAAAGGTTGGTGAGGAAACAAGTCTCTTTGAAGTCGCCAGGTTATATCATTTTGACTGGATGAACAAACAATGGTTATTCCAAATTAGCGAACTTGTCTGCCATTCACACTTTTCACATTGCCCATAATGCATCTTGCTTTAATTTACCCCTGACTTACTTCCACGTAAGAATTGATTTCAATCCACCATACGGAAAAAGTTGGCGGCTGTATATTTTACCACATTTCCTTTCGAACTTAACACGGCCAATTACACATAAAGTCATAGGAAGACAATGCTTCAGAATTGTGGGGTTAAACATGTTTTAGTAAGAGTAGTATAAAAATGGGGCCATTGTATTCTCCTTTCTTGCTGTTTTATGGTCATAACACCACGTTTCTGTCCACAAGCAATAGTCAGTCAAAGGACTGACGACAGATTGGGTTTCGTTTGTTGGTAAGTAGGTAAATGTTTGGGTGGTTTGCTAACGGCAAGCTCTCTACAGCGGCCACTTTTTTGGCGGACAGTCCTTACATTGACTCTTGTTTAAACCTCTCTAGAACGGCCACCTTTCTACATCGGCCACTTTCTTCTGTTCTCAAGGTGGCCGTTGTCGAGAGCTTCAACTTTATCTGCATGTAGACGTTCTGAGAATTCTTTCCAGTTTCACTTAGTGATCTGTTTCTGTATCTCAGGTTACCTTATACCTGCCTGCCTGATGGTAGCTACAAGTTATGTTGGCTGCAACTCCACCAGCCTGGCTGTTGTTTTATTTTCACTGGCCCTAGGGGCCTCTAATCTTAATGCGGCTTCCTACCGTGTCAATCATTTGGACATCGCTCCTAGATTCTCGGGAGTTCTGATGGGAATCACAAACTCAGCGGGAACAATTCCAGGGATCATTGGACCTTTTGTAGTAGGACTGTTAACAGACAATCAGGTATGTTTTTGGAGAAATGATTACGTTTTGTTCAGACGGGGCTGGTTCCAAGTAATGGATATAATCTAATATTGGATCGCGCCATTTCTGTTCACACGGGACCGATCTGTTGACGAAAACCGGGCTGTTGTTGTCCCCTTTTTTGACAACAGTGAGTGATTAGAGCAATTTTCGGGTCTTAATTACTGGTAAAAGCAGACGACTATTAAAAGTTTGGGCTCTCAATACGGCAAAACTAACTTAGAGTACCGGTGATGCAGTCTTTTTATTTGATGAGATTCGCAAACACAGTCGTCATTGTAGCGTTTGAAAGGCGTCAGGTTTTTGTCCGTTGTATTTAGAGAAAATACTTCAATCTCTTTCAGTAAAGAATTAAGAACTCAACCAGTTTGTCAACTCGGTCTATCAACTCCCTCCCGGCCTCCAGGGTTAAAAATATAGCTTGGGAAATTCCTGAAATTTCCTTTTCCTTTCCTTCACATCAAACTTTCAATACCAGTAACGGCCTTTATAGAAGTGTGCACTACAATCCTTCCAAATTTTCACGGTTCCCTCTTCCATTCATCCGTCACACATCAAAAACGCCATCCTACGTTATCATGTTGTTTGGATTTCGACCACTATGTAGTTAGTTTGTAGTGACGACTCCATTTTGCCCCGACATATCAGAAGGGAAAAAAGACCCGCTTTATTTCAATTTCAATGTATTAAGCACGAAAGTAATGACTGGAGGCAGAATTTTTAAGCCTCCTACTGGAGACGGGGCCGCCATTTTATGTGGTCATCCTAGCCACTTGAAAGTCAGTCTAGCCGTTTGGAGCGCAAAGGCATGCAGTACCTTCATTTCTCAGTTATTTTTTAAGACCTTCAGTATTCGAACCCGCGACATTCCGCTCTGTAGTCAAGCGCTCTATCGACTGAGCTTATCCTTCTTTTTTTTGTGTTTGTCTGTGTCTCATGTCTGTCTTTCAGTTGGCCGTGTTGCCGGAAAGGAATATAACGCGAAGACGGTTTCTCCGTTCGATGTCAAAACGCGATCGCTTCACGCGCGTTAGAAGCTTGCATCGACATTAGCCTCTTGAGTTATATGTTAAAAATTGTCAGTAACCCGAAAATTACCCGTGTGATGGTCAATATACTCGATGCTTAAAACACAAGAGTCAAAATGGAGCGGAGAGAAAATGTTGAGTCTATGGCTGAAATCGATCCTATAGTGAGTAGTACCAATTGAATAAAACCTCTTAAGCAGTACTTTAGCATGGTACAATTCGTTTTCTGTATTTTATCATTTTCTCTAGAAAACCCTTTCGAACTGAGAATTTGTGTAAATAGAGGTTTTTAAGTGATGTAATACCTCATGAAAGTAGAAACTCACGGAAGAATCGATAGTTTCTTAGTTTG